AGGTTCTGTGGATGACCCTCAGGAGGTGAAGGACTGGTCCCTGCAGGGTCAGACAACACAGTGTAGTAATGGTGCAAGAGTCCGAACTGCAGACAGAAAAAGTCAGGTTCAAATCCAAGTGCATACTCACTGAGTGACCTTGGGCACGTACCTCGCCATTCGGACTCTCCATTTCCTGGTTTGTAAGCTGGGACCTCCTCAGCAGTTACGTGAGAGGCAAACAAAAGGATGCATGGAGAGAAAGCCCCTACACAGTGCCAGCACATAATAGGCACCTAGGCATGTCAGATCTCCAAGGGGTGGGTGTGTAATTATAGGGTTAAATTCGGGGTGTGTTCTGAAAGCTCCCCCAGACACCTTGGCCCTGGCTCTGGTTTGGGATTCTGCTCTCTGCACTCCAGGTCACCCCTAAGCCCCCCTCGGGCTGGCTCAGGCTTCTGCACTCCAGGGGAAGTGTGGCCCTGGGCACTGGGGGTGGGGGGGCGTGTTGGAGCTCCCCAGGTGGTTGTACAAGGTGCAGGCTCCTTGGGCAGCTGGTCATCTTGGAGTTCCAGTGCCTGGTCTGGACTGAGGGAGGCATTGTTCCTGCTGTTGGTTTTGTAAGAACTGCAGAGGGTCCGAGAGCAGAGTGAGTCTGTACCTGGCAGCTCCAGGGGCTCTGAGGGCCAGAGGGGCCAGGCTGGACTCTGCCTTGGGGACCCTTAAGGCTTCTGGGCATCGAATCCATGATGAGATCCAGGAGGGAAGCTCTTCACAAGAATGGTGCCAGGTGGTGGCTGTGCCCTGGGGCGGTCACTCAGGGATGCTCTCCTTCTGAGGCCCCACCATTTGGCTATCCTGGCTGTGCAGCCCGAGAAGGCAGGAGGCTGCACTGCAATGCGGCGCCCCTTCCCAATGAAGCTGTTCCGGGGCCTAGGCAGCTGGGTGAAACACCTGGTGTGCTGGGCATCTGTCCGTCTTAGAGTGTTTGCAGTCTGTCCAGGCACACATTTCCCCCAGCTGATAGAGGGCATAGTTTGTTTAAAAGAATGTTTGTTCATGGTCCGTTGTGAGCAAAGTCCTATATAGATACCTTGTAGATCCAACTTGGTTAATTATGTTATCAACTCCTCCAGTTTTCTACTTTTTTATTGCCTACTTCCGTGGTTCTCCGAGTATAATCAGGATTCTTCTGAGGGTCCCCAAGTCCCTTTCAGGGAGTCTACAAGGTTAAAATAGTACATAATTCCAAGATCCACTCAAAGTACAAGATAAACCGATAGAGTTTAAGTTAACGGTAAGAAAAGTTCATTGATATGGATTCAGATTCTACATTACAACCAACATTTAAGGAACTGCCACATACCATTTTTTTTGGTAGTATTAAAGAAGAATATCCACAATATCTGAAAGTCTTTTAAAATACTCTCCTTTCCAACTACGTTTCTGTGTGAGGCCAAATTTTCTTCATATAGTTCAACCAAAACAGTATCTAACAACATACCGAGTGCAGGAGGAGATTTGAGAATCCGTTTTCTGTTAATCCACACATGAGAGAGATTTGCAAAAATGTAAAGCAAAGCCACTCTTCTCACTAATTTTTTTGTCTTGTAAAATGTAATTAGCTTTCACAAAATTTATGTTAGCATATAATGGGTTTATTATTGTCATTTAAAACAAATTAAAATTTTTCTCAGTTTTAATTTTAAACATGGCAATTATTGATAGGTGTAAACCCATATAACCAAAAGCTCTATAATCTAAAAACTTCCATAATTTTTAAGAGTGTAAAGGGGTCCTGAGACCAAAACGTTTAAGAATTGTTGGTTTATTTATTCCGTTCACTTCTGATAGAGGTGTATTAAATCTACTTTGATCATGAGTTTGTTAATTTTTCCCTTTCCCCTTTTGAATCAGTTTTATTTTGAAGTGATGTTGTAAAGAGCATAAAGTTTCATGATTATATGTTCTGGTTGGATTGAAATTTCTATCTGTATGAAATAGCCTTCTTTGTTTTGTTTAAGGCTTTAGTCTTGGGAATAATAATTCTACAAACCAACATGTATCTAGCACCCGCTATGGGCAGGCATACAGTGAAAGTCTCCATCCCTGTCCGCGTGGAGAGCATGAACACACCGAGACAGCGTAGTGTAGCAGGAAGAGCCTGGGCTCAGAGTCGGACATACTGGTGGTGAATGGTGACCACTTCCTAGCAGTGTGTCCTTGGACATATGTCTGTTGGACTTTGGACATTACTTTCTTCATCTGTAAAATGGGGTTAATAACACTTATTTACTTGGTGATAGTGAAAACTTACTGAGATAAGGGGTGAAAGTCCTTGGTGTCTGTGAAAAGTGATACAACAGAGCCATGAGCCATGAGATCTGCCCCATTCGTGCCATGCAGAGCACCCAGGAGAGGCAGTGTGGCAGTGGGGAGTGCACCCAGCTTGGATTCAGAAGATCTGAGTTGTATTTTCAATTTAATAGCAAGTCCCCCCTCGCCCCACCCCTCTGCGGCCGCCACCCGAGTCTCGGTTTCCTCATCATAAAATGGGAGGACCACCTCTGACTCCCATTCTCCATGAGGCTATCTGGAGAATCAAATGTGATAATGAAAAGGAAGGAGTTCGGGCTGATGATGGAGATGAGGTTAACTGTCCTTGGCCTGAGGTGGGGAACCTCTTCCGACTCCTGCTGTGAGGAGGTCCTGCCAGCATAGACTTGCACCTCTGAAGAAGGTTGTGTCAACCAATGGTCATTGGTGCAATCCAGCTCCAACAAGAAGCCCCAATTTGGGGTGCAGTGAAGAAGGAAACTTTATTCAACACAAAACAGCTAAATTGTGATACAGCAAAGCTGTAGAACACTCTGGGGCCAGGCCCCTCTCTGGTTAGATAACTCTGCTCAGCCACCACCTGCTCTG